CAGCTATCATTAGAACCTTCTGGACCTAGGGTTTTCTTTTCTTGTCCTACTACTGTTGAGTTGAGGTGTTCTGGTTAGACTTTTTTGGCACGTCTGTTGTTGTGAATTTGGTTTAACGCGGTGTCTGACATAAGATTGGTTGAAAATTCCTTATTGCAGGATCTACTTATGTGCAAAGGCTCCAAGACTGCTCTTTCGCCTTCCAACTCCAACAACATGGAAGAGCCTTCGTTTAAGCAGAAAGGCAACACCTTGTCTAGGTGCTCAGTTCTGCTCGAGCTTGCTGCCTCTGACGATCTAGTTTTCTTCAGAAACGAAGTCGAAGGCAAAGGGCTAGATGTTGATGAGGCAAGCTACTGGTATGTCAGAAGAAACGCCTCTCGGAAGATGGGGTTTGAGCTCAGAACCCCTCTCATGATTGCTGCCTTGTTCGGAAGCACAAGCCTCGTGAAATACATCGTTGCAACTGGGAAAGTCGATGTCAACAGAGCTTGTGGCTCAGATAAGGTCACCGCCTTGCACTGTGCTGTAGCTGGGGGCTCGAATTCCTCGGTGGAGATCGTCAAGGTGTTGCTTGATGCTTCAGCTGATGCTGATTGTGTTGACCTTAATGGAAACAAGCCGGCGGATCTCTTCATGCCTTCTTCCAAGTGCCCTTGCAACTCAAGGAGGAAGCTGATCGAGTCGTTGCTCAAGGGTGAGAGTTTGAGTGAAGATGAGCAAGAGAAGCTTATCATGGCTGTTCCAGCTCAGCTAGCTAAAGAAGGAGCAACCGAGAGGAAAGAGTATCCTATCGATGTGTCTCTCCCCGATATCAACACCGGGGTATATGGTACCGATGAGTTCAGGATGTATTCATTCAAGGTCAAGCCCTGCTCAAGGGCATATTCCCATGACTGGACCGAGTGCCCCTTTGTCCACCCTGGGGAGAACGCGAGGAGAAGGGACCCAAGGAAGTACCCTTACAGCTGTGTCCCTTGCCCTGAATTCCGTAAGGGCTCGTGCCAGAAGGGTGATTCCTGTGAGTATGCTCACGGTGTGTTCGAGTCGTGGCTGCATCCTGCTCAGTATCGGACTAGGCTTTGCAAGGACGAGACTGGTTGTGGGAGGAAAGTATGTTTCTTTGCTCACAAGGTTGAGGAGTTGAGGCCGGTCCATGCCTCCACAGGTTCAGCTATGCTTTCTCCTCCTAGATCTTCTGCTTCCGGAATGGAGATGGCTTCTTTGAGTCCGCTTTCTCTGGGTTCGATGTCTATGCCGATGCCAACCGGCTCCACACCCCCCATGTCACCTTTAGCAACGGCTTCTTCGTCTCCAAAGGCTGGGGGGTTGTGGCAGAACAAGATCAATTTCACCCCACCTGCGTTGCAGCTTCCAGGAAGCAGGCTGAAGACTGCTATGAGTGCCAGAGATTTTGATCTGGAGTTGGAGCTGCTCAGGTTCGAGAACAAGACCAACCAATTGCAGCAGCAACAGTTGATGGAAGAGATTTCAGGGCTCTCCTCACCAACCTGCTGGAGAGACATGAACCCTACTAACCTCGACGATGCATTCGGATCGCTCGACCCGTCTCGGATGCATTCGCCAACCGGTCTTCAAATGCGCCAGAACGTGAACCAACTCCGTTCTAGTTACCCTTCCAACATGTCATCGTCTCCTCAATCGGTGAGGAAGATGGGGTCATATGGAGGGTTTGATTCTTCCGCTGCAGTGGCTGCTGCTGTGATGAACTCTAGGTCCTCAGCTTTTACAAAAAGGAGCCAGAGTTTCATCGACCGTGGTGCAGTAGCCAACAACCGCCATGGTTTCTCCGGACCAGCAGCCAACTCGGTTTCGATGATGTCATCCCCCAACCATCTCTCCGATTGGGGCTCACCTGATGGGAAGCTCGACTGGGGGATGCAAGGAGATGAGCTGAACAAGCTCAAGAGGTCTGCTTCTTTCGGGTTCAGAGGCAGCAACAACAACAACAACAACAGTCCCACAACCAGGCCTGCAAGTTTGGCGATGTCGAACAATGGCGAGCCTGATGTGTCATGGGTTAACTCATTGGTTAAGGAGGTTCCATCCGGCATCGATGGAGGTGTTCGTGATAATCGTTTCAGCCATGGGAGTGGCGGCGTTCGTGAGTCATCCATTCCACCATGGATGGAGCAGATGTATATAGAGCAGGAGCAGATGGTGGCATAAGTTCAAGTCGGGGAAGAGTGGGAGAAACCTCCCTTTGATGATCCTGAGGATGAAGATGGTGATGATGATCAACCTGACAGTTGTTTTCTTCTTTTTATTATTAAATTCATCTCGCAATTGTTGTTAGTAATCTCTTATTTACTAATTGTGTTCGCATTCTCTGAGCAAAAGTGAGGAGGCACAGACAAGTGAAACAAAAAGGGAAAACTAGGATGAAACTCTTAGGTGCAAAGATAAGGTGATTATATTCTTTAATTGAATTCAATATATATCTTCATATATTTGTTATTGTATTATCTCTGCTTGTACTCCTCTCTTCCTCTATGTTTGAAGATCGAGGGAGGGGGGAGAGAGATAGAGTCTCTGTGTTGTTGTTCTTCCCCTGTAACCTCTTTGATAATAATAATAATAAGGAAAATGGTAGAGAAGGGCCATTTCTGTTCTATGTATCTTCTTGTTTGTTGTTTCCTAGTTCCTACGTATGACTCTATCTCCCTGGCAAATAGTAGTATTCATAAGATGAGTTTGATTTGGTCCAAACATGGCATCGTTTTCGTCTTCTGTCTCTGTCGCAAGTCTTATTTCTAGATGATGGTGATCTCTTAGGAAGCCAACAGGCTTACTGCTTACAGCCTTACAGATGACGGATGGAAAAAGGTTGCAATTTTTGAATCTCTCTGGCTACCTTGATGATTATAAATATATATGTTGAAAGTTGAAGCTGGAAGTTTTTTGCTGGACTGTGGTGGCGCCATGGAACTGTGGTCTACGGGCTGTGGCAGAGCCGCCATGGGAATATGGGATGATGACAAGCGCAAAGAGAATATGCACCAGAAGAATCACCTCTGTTTGTCATGTAAGTTTGTAGCTGTGAACTTGTGGCGACGTCATACCACCGTATTATCCCTTACCACGGTTTCAGTGGATTTCATGATCTCTGATTTGGATTGCATTTTCTGGGCTGGTGTAATTGTTCTGGGTTAGTGGGTGGGTAGAAAGGGGAGGGGAAGCATTTTCGTTTCTCCACCATGAATTGTCAAAAGGACAGATGGCGTTAAGGTAATGGAATAATTGGGCCGACCATGACCTGGGGGGACGGTGGCCATGCTTCCTCTTTTTCTTTTTGGGGATTGATTAATCAAAGAAGGAGAAGAAGAAGAAAGGGAAACCATAGAAAATGAAAACAAATTATTAGTGAGGAGCTGCCTGCTTTCATTCATTCATTCAATATCGTTGTCATCAGCAGCATTATCGTTAGAGGACGCTATCTTTATCTCTCTCCGGCCAGCAGCGGCCAAGAAGTAGAATCCACAATGAGAATTGACAGGGAAGGGAAGAGAAGGCCCACCACCGCCAGCTCCAGCCCATTCCTCTGCTGCCTTTTTTCTCTCATTCATTCTGCATTTTCTTTTCTCCGCTCCTTTCTTTTGATTAGGCGTGCGCTGGCCTGCCCTGGGTTTAGACTTTAGAGTATTATTGGTTGGCACTTGGCCGGCCGCCTTATCTCAATAAACCACCTTTCCCGATTGGCGTCTTCTTCTCTGTTTCTTTCTTTTCCCCATATTTTCTTGCCTTCTTGCTCCCCACAGCTCTCTCTCACCCATATTATTCTGTTATTTCTCGTACGCGAATGTTAGGAGTAACGATATTATGGAACCAGTGGTCACTTGTTTCCGAGTTTATATTTCTTTTTTTCTGGAAGAATAATGATGATGAAATTAACGTCGCCAAGTGTCATATGGAGTTTTGCTCTATTATGATAACGTCCTTTACTCCTACAGCTTATCTGGAATCAATTCCTTAGAAAATTAAGCTGAGAATCAAGCTTCCTATTTTTTTTTATATATATATATATATATAGAAAATTGTTCTCCTGAACAATTCCTATATCATCGAACAAAGAGAAATAATTGATTTTCTAGTGAGAGCCTGAGAGGAAGGTGGAGATGGTTGTCAAGATTGCAATAAGTAATAGCTAATGAAGTCTCTCGTCCTTGGATTGCAGTTGCTATTGCTGTTTTCTTGATTTATCTTCTTATTGATTTTTCATCTTGTGTTTTTGCCTTTCATCTCGTGAACTCACCCGCAAGATGTTTGCTAAAATAATTAAAGATATAAACAAAACTAGTATGAGAGATGATACCAAACTTTTTGTTTGCATTCAACTCGGTGTTTGAAGAATCATAAAAGGCTTTATTTATATTATGTGAATAACCTTAGTGTGTCATGAATATTGTGAGTCATTTGTTTTTTAGATTTGAGTGATGGATTTGATATCTAATTCTCTAAGTATAATGGATTTTTGACAAGTTCATTGTTTGTTCCGGAAAATTTGAAAAACAAATATGTGAGCACCACATTTTGGACTTTTTTAGATCCAAACCCATGAATCCACGAATTTGCAAATTCAATATTTTAGTTAGAATAAAAAATCAACTAAGTAAATGACATGTTAGAGATTATGTATTAAATTTTAAAACTCAAAATCCTTGTTTTCAAATCCAATATGTAAATGACACGGTAGAAATTGTAATTTTTTTTAAAAAAATACACGTTATAGATTGTGGGCCTTCAATATTCTTTTGTTTTTTTTTTTGGTAAAAAGTTCCTTCAATATTCTGATTCCACTAAAGTGATAGCATAATGCATCTCATTTTTAACAAATAATAATAATGTTCCTCATTTGCAAGTGTAACCAAGGGATATCATTATCAACTCAACCAAACGACACCGCGTTGGTCCGGATTCCGGCGTGTTATACAGCAAAACATATCAACTACTGAAGCTTTGACGTGACGAAATGCATTCTGGCATTCTCTACATTCTTCTTCTACGCCCATTCCAGTTTGGCGTTCCACCGTTTAGTGCTTCATTTCGGCAGTCTGCAGTCACCGAATAGAGAAGCAACGAGGGACAAACGAGAGCTAAGCTCGACGCGGTGTCCATCGGCACTCGCCAGAATTGGATTGTCGCTGTCGCCGACTGGAGACGACGACGCGGCAGGTTGAATCTAAAGCAGGGGGGGGCACCGGTGGGATTGCTCGGCATTTTCGATTTCTGCGCGCAAGGTAAGATTTTGGGAGCTCGACACTTGATTCGCAGTTTTTAGGAATTAGGGCTTTGTCTTGTTTTTTCAGAAATTCGGGAAATCAATGGTTTGTTTGAGCTACGTTGTGGGCGACGGTTTCACTAATGCATGGATTTCCCATCCACGTTTGAGAATCTGGATGCACATTGGTGTTAGAAGTCGCAAGGAAAAGGAATATAGGAAAAATTTCATGTTGATGAACCCGTTTGGTGGGCAAATTGATCCTGCATCGTCCTCCCTAGTGTGACTGCGTATTTGTCTTGCTTTGAGGAAGATGGCATTGCCGCCTCCTTGTTCGTGCTCCTTGGTTGCAGAATGCAGATAGCTAGTCAATTCATGTGATTGAGTTCATATTCACCATTTCCTTACCGGATGCAGGGATGAGCATCAACACTGCGAGTTACTTACAACCTGGGTTTTCCAGGTTGCAAAGACAGCATGCTCCTGGTACGTTTTGCCTCTTCAAGAATAGTGATTGAACACGAGATTACAATTCTGCGAAAAGCTTGGCATTGTATATACAATCATGTTAAAGGTTTCACTAGGGGATGCTAGAATCTACAGATTTGGTGACAAGAACTTGGTAAAGTGGGAACTTGACAATATGCAGGTGTGAAGGTTGGGAGACTGAAATGGCGGAAAATTCAGTGTTGGTCAAGGACCGGAGTTACTTGCTTGTCTGAGAAAGTATCTTGCGCTAGTAAGGAACGTGATATGAGGTCACCAGTGGTTAAAATGTGTGGGATAACATCAGCTAGAGATGCTGCAATTGCTGCCGAAGCTGGAGCTAATTTTATTGGGATGATACTATGGCCCAAATCTAAACGTTCAATTTCACTCTCGGTTGCGAAAGAAATTTCTAAAGTTGCTAGGGAAAATGGAGCACAACCTGTTGGTGTATTCGTTGACGATGATGCAGAAACGATAATGAGAGCTGCAGAAGTTGCTGATCTTGAATTTGTACAGCTTCATGGGGGTGGTTCACGGGAAGCTTTGAAACAATTAGTTCAGGATACACGAATAGTCTATGTTCTTCATGCAAACAAGGATGGGGAGCTTCAAAATCAAATTTCAGATGAAGAAAGTTCTCTGGTTGACTGGATTCTCATTGATAGCGCAACCGGGGGCAGGTACTACCATCTCCATTCATGCAATCAATTAGCAATTTCAAATACAGTCATCGTCGACGATTTTAGCAAGTTCTTCACTAAGTGTTTTGCCTAATGTTGTTTGCAGTGGAAAGGGATTCAACTGGACTCAGTTTAAGTTACCTTCAATTAGAAGCAAGCATGGCTGGCTATTAGCAGGAGGGATAAACCCTGAAAACGTTTCTGAAGCCTTGGCAACCCTCAAGCCTGATGGTATAGATGTTAGCAGTGGCATTTGTGGCTCTGATGGAATCAACAAGGATCGATCCAGAATATCCTCATTCATGAGTGCCGTACGTTCTGTAAGCTATTGAGATCGTATAATGAGTCGAGGACCGCAAAAGGTTCTCAGCTCCCCCATTGCAGACCAATCAAGTTGGGTGAAAGAGGTCAATGCAACGTTGCTGGTGTCACATTCTATTCATCATTCAGCTGCAATTCATGCATGACACATAATCACAGGAAATCAGTAAGAAGAAAGCACTTCTTTTGTCGTGCAAAGTTCCTAAGAGGAAGGCTTCTAGCTTGTGAATAAGAGGTCGCTCTTCTGTCTGCAGAACAAATACTCTTTCTTCATTCTAACCACGTCGTCGTCATATGGCTGTTACTGAAGGCAGAATATTGTGTTCACGCCCTCTTTGTATTCACAAATGACAATGTACAAGTCTGTTAATTATGCATTATGACAGATAAATACAGACCCTCACGCGGTCACTGTATTTTTAATAGCCAAATACTTTATGCACACGTCAAAATGTAGGGGTTCGGGGATCGGGTGGCAATAGGGTACAGTGTGTGTAGTAATTAGAGTGCCCCTACCCAAATGAAGGGCCAACAATGGCTTCTTTTCTCCTGTACCTTGAAAGCCAAGCAAGCTGGTTCACGGATATTTTGTCCAGGGTACGAGATCTGATGATCATAACCGCCACCATTTATTACGCTTCTCCATTAGTGTAGCGAGTTCCTGAGCCATCGATGCGAAATTTTCGGCCCCATTCCGCAGTTCCTCTGTTCGCAGGCTCAGCCGCTGTTTCGGGGTAAAGAGCATACAAGAAAACACAGCAAAGATTTCAAGTCAGTGAGAAGCAAAGTGAATAACAAAATTAAAACCAATAAAACGATTGGTTTTGATTCTTTGTTGTGATCGAATGATCTGGTTGTTCGTGTGTGGTTTTAACAAATGCATCTGCCCAGGGGCAACAATTTATGAAACAACATAAGTAGTAGAAGAAGATTCATTGAACACTCCACCTCAAGTTTTTCACCACGCTCGGCTAGCTTGTTCCTCGCAAGTGCAGCTGCTCCAGCAGCATCCTGAAAAGATATGCCAGCCATGATGAATGTGGTAAATAGAAGCCAAATCCATAACAGAAGTGAAATGAACAGGTTAACTCATCGTGGGGGGCAATGGGAACTATACCTCCTTCCCGTATTGTGCCTTGATTTCTTCAACTGTTCTCATTTTGGGCTTGGAATCAGTCGTTGCACCTTCAAATAACTTCTCCCTTTCCTTTCCCTTGTCTGCAGCAGCGCAAAATTAAGAATCATATCACAATAGAAGTACCTGCCACACATCAGACAGTTGAAGGACATACCTTTCTTATCGTTGTTGCTCTCCTTCGCGGAAGATGCTTCCACCACCACATGTTCGTCAAAATCAAGGTCGATATCATCTGTGCCAAGTGTAAACATGAGAGAAAGAGACAGAGAAATGAAGTTGAAGACATAAATTGTGGTGTAAACGAACCTATGCTTAGTTCCACGGCATCGTTTTGGTCATCCTCGTCAAAGTCCACAGAAGAAGGCTTCAAGTATGGGGGGTTGGAAAATATGGTGTCTAGATGTGTCAAGTTACTCTTCCCAACCTCAGGAAACCCCACTTTCTGCTCCTCCACCTTACCTCCCTGTAAACCCTTGAGGATGCCACCTAAAATTCCAGGTAGGGAACCCTGCAGCAACAGGAGCTCACACAACTGTAGAACTGTTCATTGGAAATAAGTGGAGAGAAAGAGTCATCTACCTGTTTATCCTTCTTACTCGGAGACAAATTGTAGGCAGCAGCATCAATTGCAGCTTCAATCACTTTGTCGTGAAGGACAGGTAAAGAATCAGGAATCCTAGAATTCACAGAAAATTGTTTAGAAATCAAATCCATTCTCGAAATAACAAGGAACAGGTATTATCCATGCCTTAATGCAATAATGTGCAATTGGGCTTGAGGATGATATAGAGAAACCTGAAGTCATTTTCAAATGCCAGAAGAGATACTGAAGAAACTTCGCACCCATTCACCTGCAATTCAAGAAGATTGGAGTAGCTCTCAAAATTATGTTTCCACTTTTGAACTGAACTACAAAGTATTAAGAGGTTCCAGATAACAACTCCATAAGATGACCAAATATATTATGCAATGTATGAGAAAATGTCAGATGATGGCAGCTGAAAATTTAGAGAAGAAAATACATAAACAGAAAGATAAAGGTTATGCCGGAAAAGACAGCTTTTGACCTGTGTTTTTGGGAGGTCAGAAAAGACACCGCCGCTAACAAGCAGTAGAATACGGTTTGAAGTTTAGAATGAGACTTCGGTATGTTTCTAACACTCAAGCTTTTAAACCTGCACTGCTTTTAAACCCTAATCGACTTAACATATTAAACTAACTGAAATATCCTAACCCGAATAAGTATGTTTCTAACACTTTGCAAGCCTTAAGTAACACACAGATAAAAGCAGGAACTACTAACCAAGATTATCTGTCCACTTTCGGAGGAACATATCATCTTATCCATATTAGTCTTGAAGTTCCACCTTAGAATAAACATTAAATTGCTTTCACCCACCAATCTTAAGTCCGGCAAAGATCTGCAAAAAAATAGATCAGCTTCCACTCAAAAACTGATTTAACGTAGATGCAGCAAGAACATCAAAGAGCAGATGCACCACCAAACCAAGATACACAGATTCAATCGAGTGCCAAGAAACTAGGTGATTCACCTCACGTCAATTTCCCCAGTCTGATAAATAACAATGAGTCCAACAACTTTGCCATCCTTCTTGAAAGTTATAGAATAACAACATGGCTTCGAAAGATTCACTGTATGAACAGGGGTTGTACCTCCCTAAAAAATTATAAACTATGTGACTTGCTGGAAAAGGAGAAAGAATTGGAAGCTCTGAAACCAGAAACTTAAAATAAGAGTAAAAAAACCTCCTTAAGAGCACTGACAGAGTATAGGTGCAATGCACTTTCGCAAGAAAGCACAAGGAAGAAACTCTCAGCTCTATTCCCACAACTGGATGCACCTGAAGTAGCTTCTTGATCCGCATTGAGTGGATTATCACTACCATGAGTGGCTCCACTTTCCCACGCCATCATGCTACTATCTACATGGGGGAGGTCGTGAAAAATCTGTAAGATCCACAGGGAGGTAAGTTTAATCACAGTTCTGCAATATGCCACCATAACCTGCAATACTTACCTATGATATGCATAGAAATAACAGTCGATTCTTCTTCAGCTTTCAAAGACTGAGAAAAGACGATATTGCCCGTGTTTCCATCTAGAAGGACAAACTGCCCATCCTTGGTCACAACAAAAACTTCCTGATTGGCATTGTTACCCATACATTTGGATTCACTCTGCCCTACATCCTTAATCACACTAGTAGTTTCTGTTGATGGTCTCATATCCAGTAATTTGATAGGAGAACACGAGTTGGACATACTATCAGTGAGGAACAAAATTGAGTATGTGTTAATATCAAGCAATGCCACCTGAAACACCATCAGCCAATGTGTTAACAAATAAGAAGTTGTGGCACTGCAAGTTACCAATTCAACACACATAAAAGTGAGAAACATAAGGAATAAAGGGCCAAACAAATGATTCCCCACCCTTCCAGAGTGAAATCCCACACCAAGTCTGGATCCAGAATGCAGAAATTGAAGAGTGCTTATATGTGAAGTATGGAAGGAAAACACGGCTGTGCAGTGAGGCTCATCCCCTCCGCGCACAGTGTAAACTGCAAATTACTGATATGTAAATAAGGCAGGAGAATTTTGTTTCCTTTGTAATGACGATATGGTTATGCTGAGCACCAATCAATCCATATAGAAGATACAGAACTGGTACCTTCCTTTCCATTTTCTGTAACGAAGTTTAGCTGCATTGCATCAGTAGTCCTGATCAAATCGTATAAAAGTACCTGCACGATATGCAAAACTTAGACATACTGGGAGCATATGACCTTAAAAATGATGGAAAGAAGGCATTTGATAGAATCATAGAAAAATTCCAAGTACTCTTACCGTACCAAGTTCATTGCCAATAGCCAAAGTTAACTTGGGGGAGCAAAACGCCAGTGCAGATACTGGTGCATTTGCACCAGCAATACTTGTACCTTTGACCTGCCATCATGCAATTTTTAGGTTTTCATCACCATTGATATTTATAGCGTTGATACACATTTTGTAAGAAGACATTGTGCTGCCAAACAAACCTCGGGTCCTAAGACACAGTATAATGAAAAGGTTGGACATGTTGCATCAAATATTCTGACCGACCCATCTTGATATCCTGCTATATAAACTCTTTCAACTTTATAAATTTCAGCTTCCAAAAATTGGCTAGGAATGCCACCAGTCAATGGCCAAGCTGATTTTCCAGAAACCTCAACCCTTCTCAATTTTGCAGCAGAAATTTTCTGATTAGGAAAAGGAGAACAGATGTTAACTGAGCCTACAGAAACCAATATTCAATGAACTTAAGCACTAAAAATTGTGCCGCAATGCTTTCCAGCTGAAACAATGTGAGAACATGCAAGAGGTTCCGATTGCTTAAAGGGAAAAATCGAAGACAATATGGCAGATGAGAAGAAATAATCCATATTATTTCTTTAGATAAAGTTTCAGCAGCTATTTCGACTAATTTTCTCCTAATATATTTCTTTTTATGTTCAATTCCCTGTGTCTGTTTTGCGTTTTTTGGGACAAACGAATTGTTTCTACATCTTGAACAACAATGGAGGAAAGGGAGATGAGCTCCTTAGATGGCAAATAATTGGAGGCAGCCAAACAATATAACACTGAGGCCGAATGTCAAACTTGGTTTCACGTTGACAGTTTGGCTCGGAGTTAGACATAGTTTTGCGTGCAAATGAATGGAAACCTACAGCATAATAAACGAACCATACCTCGGATAAAGCCTTTAGAAGGTTCCCATCTACACATATCAAACCAAGCCTTGCTGCAGTCATGTTTGGCTCAGCAGTAGGTATAGCCATGGGATATTCAATTGGAGACACAGTAAATTTTTTCTCTTCCTTTGATGTCAAAAAAGACAAGCAAGTACTATCATAAAAATGCAGTTGTCCTGGATTTGTCAATACCAACATCCCACTTGTATTCACTGAAGCACCACTTGTGAATAGAACCA